CCCAGTCAAGTCCCCCTCCCTCGTCAGCCCAAAGAGCAATCAGGGTTCCCTGCCCTGTGGGAAGTCCAAGGACCGCCCACCTCCATCCAGGTCTAGTAAGGTGAGCATCCAAACTGCCTAGGCTCCCACAAAGCCAATACGTGCAGTAGGATCAAAAACCCATTGCCGGCCGGGCAGTGGTGGCGCAGGCCTTTAATCCCAGCACTCGGGAGGCAGAGGCAGGCCCGATCTCTGTGAGTTTGAGACCAGCCTGGTCTACAAGAGCTAGTTCCAGGACAGGCTCCAAAGCCACAGAGAAACCCCGTCTCGAAAAAACAAAACAAAACAAAAAAAACCATTGCCATTGTTCTTGAGGTCTCAGTAGTCCTCATTGTCCACTATGTTCAGGGAGACCGGTTTTATCCCAGACTTTTTCAGACCCAGGCCAGCTGGCCTTGGTGAGTGCCCGATAGAACATCCCCATTGTCTCAGTGTGTGGGTGCACCCCTCGGGGTCCTGGGTTCCTTGCTTGTGCTCTCTCTCCTCCTGCTCCTGATTTGGACCTTGAGATTCCAGTCTGGTGCTCCAATGTGGGTCTTGGTCTGGAACTAGCTCTTGTAGACCAGGCTGGCCTTGAACTCACAGAGATCCACCGGCCTCTGCCTCACCTCCCAAGTGTTGGAATTAAAGGCAAGGGCCACCACTGCCGGCCCAGACTGTGTTTATTTTATTTGTTTGTTTGTTTGTTTATTTATTTATTTATTTATTTATGCCAGATGGCAGTGGAGCACGCCTTTAATCCCAGCACTCGGGAGGCAGAGGCAAGCAGGTGTCTGGGAGTTCAAGGCCAACCTGGTCTACAAGAGCTAGTTCCAGGACAGGAACCAAAGCTACAGAGAAACCCTGTCTTGAAAAACCCCCCAAGAAAAAACAAAAAAAAATTTATTTATTTATTTATTTTTAATGGGTCAAGTAGTGATTTAATCAATACAGTCTCTACGTGCTCATTTAGGGGCTAAGTGGCCGGGAACCAACAGTGACTACTCCTACACAACAGACCAGTCCCTCTTGTGAGGTGAATCCATGAAAGGAGAGGCTAAAGTGCCCATGTTCATCCAGCTGAAGGAAGTGGACTTAGTCCAAAATGGCCTCAAAGTCTGTGCTTAGGGCTGGGTCAGCTGCAGCCTTGAGGATAGCCATTGTTGCCACAGGGAGCTTCAAGCACAGCTGTTTCTGGGCGGCCCTGAGAGGTCCCACGAGACACTTGTAGACAGCAGAATGACCAGCCAGCTTGATCAGGAAGGCTTGGTAGCAGAGCCAACGTGCAGCTTCAAGAGGAAATAAGCCAGAGGCTCCCTTGGCCCCTAGTGTCACTCCTGCATTCTTGACCTTCAGGATAGAGTAGCAGCAGGATGCTGAGCTGGCGATGATGCCCAGAAAGAATGCGGGGTTCTTCCTAACGTGCTGGTCAAAGGGAAGCTGAAGAATGCATGCATGGAACCTGTAGGCCTGCAGCAGGAAGATCTTGTAAACATTGATGCAGACGGTCTGCAGGCTGTTCACCTGCAAGTCTAAAAACAGACTGTGACACTTCAGCCACAAAATAGCTAAGAGCTTGTGCCGCACGTTCCTCCAGGGCTGGAAGGTGCGCTGGAAGGTGTGGCTGGCCTTAACTGAGGTCTGGGCGTAACTGGTGTAGTCACACAACACCTCCAGAGTCTGAGTGTCCAGCAGTAAGCCACACCAGGGAAACAGGCAGCAAGCAGGCTGCTGGTGTGGAGCTGCACCGTCCAGGGTACCAGTCTCTATGGGGAAGTTCACCATTGTCTTCTGTAAGTTTATGGTGCAGCCATACTCAGGAATGCCGTGGACCAGGGCCCTGAGGAAGGCTTTTGCCTTGTCCAGGTGGGGTGTCACCAATAGAAAGTCATCCATAAAGCAAGCGTAAAAGCAGCCCGTCCTGCTGCACCTCCGCAAAAAGCTTGTTCTCCATGTCTCTGAAACACAGGCTGAAGAGCAGGGTGGACAGGCTGGAGCCCTGGGGGGGATGCCCTGGCATTGGACATAGCACCTGCCGCCAATCTTCATGATGCTGTTACGCACAAAGTGCTGGAAGAAGTCGAACAGGTTGCGGCTGGTCTCATTCAGAGAAGTTCAGGTGTGGCCCACCAGTGGGAAGCCTGAGGACCTGCTCAATGACAACCGAGTTCCTCAGTGTGCTGGCATCGGACTCCTGAAGATGTGTCACCAACTCGTCCATGTACGGCTGGAAGTCAGACATGGTGGGGACCTTGCTCCTGAAGGACTTATGGCCTTGGCGATCTCTTTGAACCACTGCATACTGGCAGACACAGTACATGTTCTCTGGGTGTCTGATCATATTGGCGACAACCTCCATGAGCTTGTCCTGGGGAATGGCATCAAATGCTCCTGTCACATCTGCCTTAACAAAGTACATCCTGGGTGCCCAGCCCAGAGTGCGCGTGCGCAGCACGAAGGTCCGCCAGGTCCTGTAGATGTCATTCAGGCCCAGGACAGAAGCCCCCAGGAGGTTAGGATGCTTTGTCCGTTCATAGTTGAGCACGCTGAATAGCATCTTGAGACAGTGGACGAAATCCTGGGCCTGTTTCTCTTTGTCAAGGGCTCTGGGGCCCATGCTGTAACCCATGTTCACAATGGACCGGAGACCACTGGTCTTGGGGATGAAACGCAGTCTGTATATGGGTGTGACCGGCCAGGCCTCCTGGTATTGCCTGACCTCCTCTTGTGACAGCTCCTGCAGCTGCACTCTGGAGGTGCTGCCTCACTCCAATGCTCTGCAGTTTGCTCCACACACTCTTACGGTAGAAGAAGAGCTGGTTCTTCTGGAATGTAGTTTCTGTGACGTAAAAGAATGACCTGAGTAGCTCTACCACGTATTGTCCATCAGCCAGAATAGGAACGCAGCCAGGATCCTTTCCCTCAAACGGTGCTCTGCGGCAGGGATGCAGTTGTTTCCTGGATTGCTGCGAAGCCAGGGGCAGTCCTCCACTTTCATTTTCCACATCAGCTCCTGCAGCAAGAGTTTGCCATACTTCCCCAAGGAGATGAACTGCTTCACGTTCTTCAAGAAGCGGCGCTTGTTGTGCCTCGTAGCCCAGAGACCTGAAGGCACCAGCTTTCGGATGCAGGCCCGCAGAAAACCATATACCTGCCAGGGACTGCTGTGTAGGCGGAGCAAATTAATGAGGTGCGGTGGGCTGGTGTTCAAGGCACCTGCCCCCTGGTGGGCTGCTGTCCGAAACCTACAATGTGACCTGAGGAGTCTGACACATGAGCACCTTGCATGGTTCACAAGCAGCTGCTGGAATAGGGGCCGCATCTGCCAGTAGCCCCTCGGCAGGCGGCGTGTCCAGCGTAGTGGTCCTGATGTTTGAGGCCTGGAGCCTAGAAAGATGATCTCCACCAGTCTCCTGGCTCCACTCAAGCTAGACTGGAGGTTGTTGAGTAGAAATGAGGGGTTCAGCTTCTCTCGGCCACCTCCCCTGGAGTAGAGGAAGCGTTTGGTCTCAGTAAAAGGTTGGGGCTCAAAGGCATTTTGGCATAGAGGTGACTGCAGGTCTGTGGAACTGCACTTGTTCTCACAGAACACTGATCCAGAGAGACTCAGGCCAGGTGCCTTTCCTCTGGAAGACAAATTTCCCTTGGTAGCTCTGCCAGTAGGCACTGCGGGGAACTGGGCAGGCTTTGACACCCGTGTTTTGTCTGATGGGGTTGGAACGGCCTGCTTGTCGGGTCCCTTCTCCCATCTCAGGGCCAGATTGCACCTGGCCTTCTTGGATGAAGGCACACTTCTATCTGTGATGCTCAGACTCCTCTTCAGGCCTCGAGATGGCAAGGCCAAGGGTTTCCATGCGTCCTGGTAACAGCTGTTCCTGACCGGGTGTGTGGATCCAAGATGGGTAAAATTTCTGCCCTCGGGTCGTGTGGGCCTGTATCTGGGGGGCACAGAGGGCCAGGTATCTGCGGGGTTATCTATTTGGTACAGGGGTGAGCCGCAAACCTGGTAGGCACAGGTCGGGGGCACCAGCAGGTAGAGCGCACAGCGGGTCAGAAGGCAGACCAGCAGGTCGTCCCCCACTCGGCTCAGCAGAAGCATCCATGCACGACTCACACGCAGGTTGTCAGTCACCAAGTTGGGAAAGTAGCTTCGCACGCTGGTTGTGAAGGCCAAGGGGGCCCCGCCTTGGGTCCCGCCAAGCAGCGAGAAGCCAAAAGCCAGCACGTTTCTCTCGCCGCGCTCACAGAGTCGCTGCACGACCCTGGCCATCAGCTCCTTCAGAGATGATACCTGGGAAGGAGAAGAGNGGTGGATCTCTGTGAGTTCAAGGCCAGCCTGGTCTACAAGAGCTAGTTCCAGGAACCAAAAAGCTAAGGAGAAACCCTGTCTTGAAAAAAAAAGAAAGAAAGAAAGAAAGAAAGAAAGAAAGAAAGAAAGAAAGAAAGAAATTGCTGGTTGTCGTGGTTCACGTCTTTAATCCCAGCTCTTGGGAGACAGAGGCAGGTGGATCTCTGAGTTTGAGACCAGCCAGGTCTACAGAGCAACAGCCAGGGCTATACAAAGAACAATTCCGTCTCAAAAAGCCAAAGAAATAAGTAAACAGAAAGATAAATTTGGAGGTGGTTATGCAAGCAGTGTATAGTTGTTGTTGTTGTTATTGGTTTTTTTTTTTGAGACAGGATTTCTCTGTAGCTTTGGAGCCTGTCCTGGAACTAGCTCTTGTAGACCAGGCTGGCCTCAAACTCACCCGCCTCTGCCTCCCGAGTGCTGGGATTAAAGACATGTGCCATCACCGATCCGCCAGTGTATTAATTATATCAGTGACCTGAGCATCTATGGATTCAGGTATCTGCAGGGGTCCTAGAACCTCTTAAAATACATGGGTGAAGAATGGACTGTGGGGTGAAGGTGGGCAAGAGTCCAGAAAGGCTAGTGGAGTTTACGGCAGAGGTGATAGATGTTGGCCTGGTTGGTGGACAGCGTACTGGTGTGAATAAAAGGTCAAGGGCTGCTCCAAGGCCTTAGAGCAACTGCTGGAACTGTCACCTCACTGTACGGGGAGTACAGAGGAGACGTTTTCTCTTCCGAAGAGTCTGGAAACCTTTGTTTGTCTTAATTATTTTCACGGATGGGTATGTGTGTGTGGAAGCTCTCATCCTCTGGAAGAACATGGAGTCCTCTTAGCCACTAGCCTTCTCCTCAGCCCTAGCTGGGGCCAGGTATCTCCAAAGTTATGAAAGAAGTGGAATTTGGAGCAGGAAACAGAAAAAATATCCATAGACATCTACAAGTGAAGTTTTCCCCTGGAGTTAACAAACGAGGCTGCATCTCCAGAGCCAAACCTAATGGATGGCTGAATCCTGAGGTTTCCACTGCCTGTCTCTGTGACCCTGGGCAAGTCATTTAACTTTTTGGAGCCCTCCTCTACAGATGGTTAGGTTGTAAATGTCACACCCTGGCCCAGTGTCTGATTCAGGGAGGCTCAGTACATTAGCCTTCCTGCCACTCCAAAGAGAACTTTAGGAGGAACTACTTAAACATTTTTTTGGTTTTGTTTGGTTTTACGAGACAGGGTTTCTCTGTAGTTTTGAAACCTATCCTGGAACTAGTGCTGTAGACCAGGCTGGCCTCCAACTCACAGAGATCCTCCTGCCTCTGCCTCTGCCTCTGCTGGGATTAAAGGTGTGTGCCACCGCCGCCAAGCAACATTTTTAAAAATATTTTAATTAATTAATTTGTATGTGTGTGGCTGCTGCATATGTCTCTGATATATGTAGGTCAGGGAACAACTATGGGAGTTTGCGTTCCCCTCCCAGCCTCTTGGTCTCTTGGGTAGAACTCAGGTTTGGTTGTGAGTGCCTTTACTCCCTGAGACATCTCATTTTAAATGTTATTGGTATTGTGGTGGTATCGTGTGTGTGTGTGTTTGCACATGTATGATACAGTAGGAGCATATGTGCCTGGTGCACATGTTGTTAGAGTAAAAAAAAAAAAATTCTGGCCAAGAGAATAGAGGGGCTGGAAAGATGGCTCAGTTGTTAAGAGCACATACTACTCTTCCAGAGGATCCAGATTTGATTCCCAGCACCCACAGGGTGGCTCACAGCCATCCACAATTGCAGTCCCGGGATTCCAATGCCGCCTCTGACCTTCGAAGGCACTAAGCACAATATATGTGGTATACCTACCTATATTCAGGGGAAAAAAAAACTCACATGTAATATAAAATGAATAAATCTAATAATATATGAAAGAAGAGAGGGAGAGAGAACGAATCTCTGGCCTGGGTATTTAGCTAACACTCCCGATGGCCCAGGGCCTACCCCTAGGAGGTGGGCTCACTCAAAGCCGTGCTAAAGAGATAAGGAGAGTAATTAGTACTTTAAAGACTTTCTCTACTGTTCCTCTCCACAGCCTCACTCCTAGTGCTGTAGACTACGGCTGCAAGGGCTGCAAGGGCTGCAAGGGCTGCAAGGGCTGCAAGGGCTGCAAGGGCTGCAAGGGCTGCGGTGCTGCAGGCAGGCACGCAGCGCAGAGTGTACACTTCTCTGTTATTTCTGGGGTTTTTGTTTCTGTTTTGTTTCTTTGTAGCTTTGGGGGCTGTCCTAGAACTCTTCCTGCAGACCAGGCTGGCCTTGAACTCACAGATACCTGCGGGCTTCCGCCTCCTGCCTACTGGGAGTAAAGGTGCTACCTGGCCTCTGTTATTTTTGAATCATTCCGAAAGTCCTAACTTTCCCTTTTCTCCCTTATCTCTTTTTCTAGACTGCTTTCCTTAACACTTTGGACTTTCCCCTCACCATTTGAATAAGCCTCCCTTCCCACAGTGTGGCTATTTGTCTATGTCTATGATATGTCTGACCTCCATGCTAGTTTAAATGGCATACACACACACACACACACACCCTCCTCTTCTTTCTGCCCATGTCCTCCTCTGGGCCGGCCTTGAAGTTTATGTCTGGCCTACACTTAGGCTTTTCTTTAAAATTCTAATAAAACTGTCCTTGAGCTTCTCTTTGATTAATGAGACTCCAAGAGGTATCTGTGACAGTCAGGACACAACTTCCAAGTTGTGAGTTATGAGTGCTGGGATTCAAATTCAGCAGGTCATCAGGTTTGTGTGGCAAGTGCTTTTATCCCTTGAGCCATCTCACCAGCCCAGAAGCAACTTTTGGGAGAAGCGACTAGTTGAAGCTGTTAGTTTTTTGTAGCCTTTTTAGCCAGTTCTCTTCCCCCAAGCCGTGTGTGTGTGTGTGTGTGTGTGTGTGTGTGTGTGTGTGTATAGGGGCACAGGTATGTGCAGGCATATGGAGACTAGCAGACAGTCTTAATTAAGTGTTATTCCTCCCTAGGTGCCATCCACCTTATTTTTGGAGATGGAGCCCAGAGCCCACTGATTAGCGACCAGTCTGTCTCTGGCTCCCCAGCACTGTGTTACAAACTTGTGCGACTATGCCCGGATCTTCTGTGTGGGTTCTGAGGGTCAAACTCACATCCGGACGTGGTGCACCAAACACTGAATAAACGAGCTAGCTCTCCAGCCCCTGGTTGGAAACTGGGCTCAAGCAGCTGACGGTAACTTTAAGCTACCATTCTCCTGCTTCCCAAGGGCTGGGTTCACAGGGGTGTGCCATCCTTCGGAGTTAGGGTATGATATTTATTTATTTATTTATTTATTTATTTATTATTTTGCCCAGATTGTCTCAGAACTCTTGGCAATTTCCCTGTCTCACCCTCATGAGAGCTGGCATGGGATTATAGGTATGAGCCACCAGGCCTGTTTAATATAGCCACTTTGTGTTCCACATGTTGATCTCGGCACTCCCTGTATAGGAGTAAGTGAGACAGACAAAACCTCTCTCTCCGTGAAGCCTATGTTCTGGTAGTAGAGGACAATGAGCAGGGGATAGGAAGTGCTATGGAAGAAGGAAGTGGAGGAAGACTGTGCTAAGGTAGACTGGGGACTGAAATAAGGTGTTCACGGGTGTGTGTGTGTGTGTGTGTGTGTGTGTGTGTGTGGCTCCGTTGGTTTCGGCTAAGACCTAAGTGAGGCTAGACAGTGCTAATTCTCTAGAGGGAAAATAATTTCAGGCTAAGAGAGGGTCAAGTTCAAAGGCCTAGGAACATGCTTCCTATACGTGAAGAGCAACTGATCCTGTGCCTTTGGAGAGAAGTGAGTAAGGAAACGTGGTGGACTTCCTTCTGCCGGGCCTCGGAACCCGCGATGACTTTGGTTTTTTATGGTTTGAAACAGAAAACCTTAAAAGGGTTTTGAACAGTAAGGAGACAATAGCTGGCTCATGGGTTTAAAAATACATGGTTTGTAGACTGGATATAGCGATACATGCCTATAGTCCCAGGCCTCAGGATGCAGAGGCAAGAGGATTATCACATGTTAGAAGCTAGCCTGATCGATACCATAATTCTAGGTCAGCATGGGTGATGTAAGACTTTGTCTCCCAAAACAAACAAGGGGCTGGGGAGACAGCTCAGTTGTCAAAGTGCTTACCTTGCAAGCAAGGGAACCTGAATTTGATCCCCAGAAGTCACATAAAACATGGTGGTACCACAGTGTTTTTGCTGGCCCCACTCACAAGGGGAGGCAAAGACAGATGGATCCCAGGCTCAGGGGCCAGCCAAACTAGCCTACATGGCAAGCTACAGGCCAATGAGTGACCCTGCCTCAAAAAACCAAGGTAGATAGATATTCAAGGTTGAGAGAGAGAGAGAGAGAGAGAGAGAGAGAGAGAGAGAGAGATCAGTCCAAATGGAGTAGTTGAGTCTTGATAGAGCAGATAAGATAAAGAATCTGGATATATTTGGATGGTAGAAGCTACCGATCTTCTGATGTAAATAAGATTTAGAGAAAGATTTTAAACAATGACGTGGTCTTTGGATACAGTAGGTTAAACAATGGTTCTTTTTGTTATTGGGTGTTTTTTTTTTTTTTTTTTGATTTTCGAGACAGGGTTTCTCTGTGGTTTTGGAGCCTGTCCTGGAACTAGCTCTTGTAGACCAGGCTGGTCTCGAACTCACAGAGATCCGCCTGCCTCTGCCTCCCAAGTGCTGGGATTAAAGGCGTGCGCCACTACTGCCTGGCTTTTTTGTTTTGTTTTGTTTTGTTTTGAGACAGTGTTTCTTAGCGTTGCCTTGGCTGTCCTGGAACTCTCTTTGTAGACCAGGTTGGCCTCCAACTCACAGAGGTCCACCTGCCTCTGCCTCCCAAGTGATAGGATTAAAGGCATGGGCCACCACCACCCAGTTTAAACAATGGTTCTTGACCTTAGATAGTAATTTCATATATTTCTAACTAAGTTGGTGTTTACCAAGATGAAGAAACCTGTGAAGAAGAGGAAAGGGTGTGGCATCTGAAATGCATTCTGGATCCTGAGGAGATGCTAAAGTTGAAGGGTGAAGACCTGTATCACAGACACCTTCTCAGGAGTCAGTAGGGATAGCAGTTAAAGCTCTGAATGAGGTCACGTGAGGACTAGGCAGCCTGGAGATCTGAGGCATCCGTATCTCCGGAACAGGGAGATAACCATGGAAAAGAAAAGGCAGGATACCACCTGTGGAAACAAGGGCTCTAGCCAGGACACCTGGCCCAAGTGGAAGCTCCCTAGATGTAGGTGTGAGTAATTTCCCAGGCTTCTTCCCTCCCTCGAGTTGGATGCTGGGGAGTGTGTGTGAAGTTGCGTGTGCATGCATGAGCAGACGTTAGATGTCACACATGACTGGTGCCATAGAGGAGGCAGCATCTCATCTGTGAGCCTGACAGAGGCTGTCCTCTTGTTTTCAGACGAGAAAATAGAAACTAAAAGCCCAGGTGACCTAATCCCAAGGTTCTCTTAGCGACAGGTGGGACTGTCAGAAGGAGGGATCCAGGTCTCTAAGCCTCTACTGAGTCATGCTTAGCTCTCACTGCTCCTGGAGACACACTATGACTGGGTTGCATAGAGATGACTTGAAGTGAGCTTTAAGTTTAGTTTTTAATTTGTGTGCGTGTGTATGTGTGTGTGTGTACGTGTACGTGCAAACGTTCATGTGTGTTTCAGTTCAGGCATGCATGTGGAGGTCAGGGGACAACCATGGACGCTGGTCCTTGCCTTCCACTTTGTTGACTGGCTACCTGGCCCAGGATCTCCTGATCTGGATTCTCAGGCTTTCTGCTTCCCATCCCCCTGGGAAGACACTGAGATTACAGGGTAATACATGGGGATCCGAACTCAGGTCCTCGTGCTCACCTCACGTGGCAAGCAGTCTACCCACACAGTCAAGGCCCCAGGGCAGAGTTTTACAGCTTTTTGTTCCCGGGAGTAGAGTTGCCGATATAATGAACCCCTGAAGGGATCCAGACCTTCCCTGGGAACTGTTTTCTCTGAGCAACAGCTCCATGGAAACAGGAGACTGTATTGGGGGGACTTTCACACTGGGAAGGAAGGGACAGCCATAAATTCTCCTTAAGGATTAACAGGTCATTTCAGAAGCTGTTTGGGTCCTCATTGCCCTCTTCCACTTACTCTGCCAAATAACTGGTCTCATCTCAGTGTCTTGCTAGAAGCGTTATATTCTCCCCAAGCTCATTTTCCTGCCTGGCAGAAGCTGCTTCTGAGCTCAGAGGCCCCGCTGGTCAAGCTTAGCCTTGCCCTGGGCAGAGATAAACAGGCCCAGAATCCATTTCTCAGATTGCAACACCTTGAGTCAGGCGGGGTCGGACAGCTGCTCCCTCCCAGGCGCCCCTTGGCTGTACCTGATAAGGAAGCACATAGCTCATTCCAGAGCACCGTCTTCCAGTACACAAGTATAAACAGACACTCCCAGGCCCCGGTGTTGTCTTAGAGTAAATTATTGACATTCTGAGCCGCTGAAACAGGGGGAAAAGGCGAAAGCAAATCTAACAGATTCAGTGGTAACTTCAGTTTTCTTTAGCTAAACCGCGGGAGAGTTTTTGAGTTTACACAGTCAAGGGCAGGCTCAGGAGTTGCCTAAAGCTCCGGAAGTAGGAAGGAAGGTCAGACTAGGGGAGGTGCATTCACCAAAGAACAACTGGCAAAATACCCAGAGAGAAATGTGTGCCTACTTTTGACCCAGAGAGGGAAAATGGATGTGGTAGCATCCTCAAGAACAAGTAAACAAAATCAATTGCCCCAAAGCAAAGAACTTCCTCCTATAAATGGTATGTAAGTCGTGGGGAAAATGGGCTGCAGGGGCTATGGATAAGGCCAGCGCCAGTCCACAGTAAACCTGGTCATCAGGATTTCCCTTGCCCTCTATCAAAGTCGCTCACAGGTTCTAGCCCTCGGATCTAGGGCTCTCACATCAATCTTTTCCACTGACTCCATCAACCGACTCAAGCAGAGTAAGAGCATCAGAGTCCATATTTTAGAGATGAGAAAATTTGAGACTCAGGGAGGATACAAACAACTTCCTGAGGCATAATTAAAAGCAGGGAGGGGTGGATTTGTCTTAAGTAACCGAGAGAGTTAAAGTCCTTCCTAGGGCTGGGGAGATGGCTCCGCAGTTAGGAAAAGGTGCAGCTCTTGAGCAGGATCTAAGTTTGTTTCCCTGAGGCTCACAGCTGACTGTAACACCAGTTCCAGGGCATCTGATTTTCTTTTCTGGCCACCCAGCTCGGGGTGCACTTTCATTCCTGTGAGCAAAGACTCATATGTGTCAAAGGGAAATAAATGCATCTTTAAGAAAGAAAACTGCTGGCCGGGGTGGCACACGCCTTTAATCCCAGCACTAGGGAGGCAGAGGCAGGCGGATCTCTGTAAGTTCGAGACCAGCCTGGTCCACAAGAGCTAGTTCCAGGACTGGCTCCAAAGCAACACAGAGAAACCCTGTCTCGAAAACAAACAAACAAACAAACAAAAAAAAAACAAAAAAACAAAAAAGGAAAACAAAATAGTTCATAGTAACACCAGGAGTCTCCTTTAGGATGTTCTGTCTGCTGAGACCACTTGAAGGGTTAACATGGGGAGAGAGCAGCCTTGCCACCATCAGTGTGGCCTGCACGTTTCCATTATGAAACACTGCTCTGATTCTTTTGCCGAGTTCTTTGCTCACAGTAGTTCTGTCGGCGAAGAGGGAAGCACCAGGTAGAATTCCTAGGCCCCCACTCCAGGCCTCTCTTCCTTGACCCCCCCCATTTCCTGTTTGTTCTGTACATATGCTGTGGTTTTAGAGACAATAACCATGGGTCCTCTAAGTGCCACTTGGTGTAGGGGGAGCAGAGGGTACATAGTTTCTGCCTTCTTGGTCTAGGACTGTATAAATGTACTAAGAGGCAAGGGGTGGTCAGATAGGTGTTCTGAAATTGAGACTCCTATTGGAATACTGGAGGCAGAGGCTCTCCGACTTTGGCCAGCATCAAAACCATCTGAGGTTGCCCGTTAAAGACAAGGACATTGCGGACTCACCCTGGACCTTCTGACTCAGTCCCCAGGGGCAGTTTCTGGACACCTGTGAGCTTACAAAGCTCTCTAGGTGATTCTGAAGCATTGGGCCATGTGTGAAAACCACTGTCTTAGCAGAGGGGTGGGAGTTCATCAGGCCACGGAGGGTGGGGGAGCCACTCTAGGAGAGCAGGTAGCAGCAGTAACAGCCTAGGGACTCCGGTGTGGACAGTGAGAAAGACAACCCTTAGTTTTTCTTTCCTTCAAAAGAGTGATCAGATAAAGGGGGCTAGAAGTCCTTCCACATGTCTGCTGGTGCATGTGTTGAAGGAGAAGGCAGTGAATCATGCTTTTTCTCCTCAGAACAGAGAATGGAGGTTACAGGGGCTGCTGGGAATGGGGGTGAGGAGTTATTACTAGACTGGCCCACAGTTTCTTTTGGGATGGATGAGAAGTCTCTGGAAATGAACAGTAGTGACAGTTGCACAATAGCTAAGGCTGTTTCGTGCTCTTGCATTGAATATTTAAATATGGTTGTTGCCGGGCGGTGGTGGCGCACGCCTTTAATCCCAGCACTCGGGAGGCAGAGGCAGGCAGATCTCTGTGAGTTCAAGACCAGCCTGGTCTAAAAGAGCTAGTTCCAGGACAGGCTCCAAAACCACAGAGAAACCCTGTCTCGAAAAACCAAAAATAAATAAATAAATAAATAAAATATGGTTGTTGCAATTAAAAAAATAGCTGGCGTATTGAGGGCTAGAGTGATAGGAGCAAAGAATGCTCAACTTTAGCCCATTGCTCTGGTCCCAGAAGTGTGTGTGTGTGTGTGTGTGTGTGTGTGTGTGAGGTTATTAAAGGGGACCCAGCTCACAACACCTGACTTGTCAAAGTACTAGTGTAGTCCCAGGGGAAAGATGATAGCTAAAGCTTTGGAGCCCTGTAGAGCAGTATCTCTCAAACTTCACTGTGAGGGAACCACCTGAGAACTTTGTTCAACTGCCTACGCTAACTGAGTAGGCCGAAGGCTCTTCTAGGGGCTTTTGTTTGTTTGTTTTTCAAGACAGGCCCTGCTTTAGTGGTGTTTCTGACACTCAGGTCATTCTGGGAGGGCTGTGTAAATTTTATCTTCATTCCCACTATATCCTCATGAACTCACAGCCATAAGAACTCAGTGGCACTTAATGTTCATTAAATGAATAAGCAAATACACATGGTTGAAATGGGAGTTTGGAGGGCAGGCCTATCTTTGTTCTGAATTAGGACATATTTAGGGTCCGTCTATCAGTACCACACATTGTGAGTTTAAAACTTACCTCAGATTCTGTAGAACAAGGATGTTGGTACCCAATTATTTCTGTTCTTGCCACCTTGCTGCTTCTACTGCACTCCAGGAATTACTGGTCTTGTGTGGAGGATTAATGAAGCCTGGTTTACAAGCTCTGAGGAAGCCTTGCTGCAGTTTACAATCCCTGCAAACGAATTCTTTCCATCTGAAAAGGAAGTAGAGTGCAGAGAACATGCTGGTATGGGAATTTCCAGATTTGGACGCCAGTCTGAGTAATTGCCACTTTGGCCTCCTCCATATCCAAACAGCCCTTTGTAACATTGTGTGTGAGGGTGGCTCATAAAGCACATGAATGCAATCATACTGCCATTATTTACTACCATCGTTTATGTTGATGGTAACGACACTGGCAGTTGAGCGATGAAGTGGGGGGGGGGTTAGGGGGGAGGGGACAGAGGGATGCAGGCGGGCAGGAGAAAGAGGAACTACATCTCCCAGAACTCCCTGGAGAAATCTACCCCTCGACGACGCCCCGCCCCTTCCCCAGATCCCCGCCCCTCAGATGACGTCACAGAGGTGACATCACGGCGCCTTGAGCGAGGCTCGGGTAGAGAGGCCGACCGTGCTGGAGTCGTCGGCTTGTGGAGGAAGCAGCTGGGAGCTGGCGAGAGCGTGAGCGGGCGGGCAGGCGGACGAGCGAGCGCAGGCGGGGGGGAGCGGCGCACGGCGCGGAGCAGCGCCTGCCCGGGCCGCGGCGGAGCCTCAGCCGGAGGGCAGCCCGAGCGGGCGCCTGGATCCCCGCCCCCACTCGGCGGGGCAGTGCCCGGTGTTCCCCCGTGCGGGGGGCGGCGGCGGCTGAGCGGACCCCACGGGACCGCGCGGGTGTTGCCACCTCGGCCGAGGAGCCGGCGCGGCCGCGGGACCCTGCGAGCTGGGCCCGGGGCCCGTGACAGACGGGCCAAGGAGGGGAGAGAGGCGGCGGCGGCGCAGGCGACGGGGAGGCAGCGGCGGCGGCGACAACATGTCATCCCCCAGTCCCGGCAAGAGGCGGATGGACACGGACGTAGTCAAGCTGTATCCTTCATGGAGGGGAATTCGGACTGCGTGTGGGGCGGGTAGGGGTGCCCAGGCGAGGGCTTCGGGGCACTCCAGGCCACTGGCCGCGCCTCCCCTCCTTTCCCCGGTGCCTACGGCGGCCCCTTAGCACCTCCCCGAAGCCGAGGGCTTTTTCAGGTCCCCTTTATCTGCAGCCCCCCGAGATGTGCGTTGCTCCTCGCTCTCCCTGCACCCCCCGGAGCCCGTGACTTTTCCTCCACGACGTTTGGATTCCTAAGACGGCCCTTTCTTGGGGGGTGGGGTGGCTAACTAGCCACCTCCTTCGTCACCGGGAGCTCATCTTCAGGGTCTTTGCTTCCTGTTTGCTAGCTTTGGATTTATGGACTCATGATAGAAATTTCCTGAGAGGGAAACCTTTCTTCTTATTCTTTTTTCTTTTTTTCCTGAGGTGTCCGGGTTCCTTCCACTCACAGTGCTGTTTAAACTGGGGTAACTCAATCGACCTTCTTTATCCCTAATTCCTTTCTATATTAGGAAGAGAGTAGTCTGCTCAGGCCCCTCTTGTAATAAAGAGCTCCGTGTGTTTTAAATCAGACACTCTTGTTAAGCCTTCTGGTCTGGAGAACGTCCCTGTTTTTCTCTCGACTGACAAAGCCTATCCCACTCGTAGTGCGTGCAGTGAGGACCCCCAGGCCCTCTTAGCAGGCAGGCCACCCTCCTCCATATTGTGGATCTGACAGCTGGGAGGAAGGAGAGAAAGGGGAGCTCCTGAACAAAATAGCCCCTGTCCTAGCCACTTGAGCAAAACTCCCTCTGTGAGAGTACGGTTCTTGGGGACTGCTTGCCCTGATCTGGGCCGAGTGGCATCTTTTATTTTCTATCCCCTTCCCCCAACTTTATATGTGCACCCGAGGTTGCAGTGGGCGAACTGTAACCGATAAGTCTTCCAGGCAGTGGTTTTGGTTGGAATCCAGACTGATTATTTCATGACTAGCTAGAGAAATTCGCGAAGGTTCCTGAGACAAATCGAGTATTTAAGAAATGTTTTTTATTTTTTGAGGGCCAATGGGGGGGGGCGAGAAGCTGGTGTTCTAAATAGCTAATCCCTCGGGGGAAGGTGAAAGGCTGTTAAAAAGAGTCCTGTCTCCTGTTTCTCTTTCTGCCTAGCCCCCATCCCCCACCGTTTCCCCCTGTTGCAGGATTTTGTTTATATAACTCAAGTTGTTTGGCTAGATTCTTCAGGTGAATTCCTTCTTTAATTTGTTACTGTTTTTGGTTGTTTTTACCTTTTCGAGCGATCCGTGGTGGTTGGCAGAAACTCAGTTATGGAATTTGCTGAAGTTTTTTAAAAAGTAGTTTTTGCATAGGATTTTAATTTGGGGGATGGGAGAGGAAGTTGCCTAGGCAAGAGTTGTGTGTTTTTTTTTTAATCTTTTTTTCTGTCCAATCCATCTTTTCAGTAATAAGACCTCGTGTTTTTCTCCTTTGCCAGGGGCTAGACATTAAGAATACTGAATACTGGGTAAACTCTGAAGTTTGAGGGTTGGGGGAAAGGGTAGTAGGAGGGATCAGAGCAGCCAGTAATAAAGGGTAATATGCCAGATACACCTAGGCACAAGTGAAATCAACTCTTTATGAGCCGTTTGTGGCTGATTGCTTTTTAAATCTGTGAATGATACCAGGAATGTTGGCTTTTCCTAAGACCACAGGAAAACTTGTAACTATGGCTGTGTGTACATTTTACACAAAGCAGTTTGAGGCTTTATTTTTGTTTAGAAACTAGGAAATGACATGGTGGCAGACTCAGAAGTTATTATTGACTTGAATTGAGAGTTGACTGTCACACCTAATGTGAATTTCACCCTAATATATAATTGGGATGGGGGGAATCCAGCTGTTTTTGATCGATGTCAGTTCCTCGAATTATGTTCATACATAGATTTCCTAAAGACTGAGGATAAAGATCGAGGCCCAGCTTGACCTGATGCCTTTGCCATACACTGCCTTTTGTTCACGTAGTAGTTGTGGCATCTAGAATGATTACCGCATTTAGGAGTCCGGGTGTGTGTGGGGGGTGGCGGGTGTGGGGGGTGGTGAGGGAGAGGGAAACAGACAAAGAACAGCAGGGTGTCTCTTTTCCCCTCTCCCTAAGTGGCTTATTTCATAGCTTATTTTTAGTAGAAGATGAAGAAAGGCAAAGATGCCTTGGCTTCTGTGCTTTCCCCAACCTTCCCTTTGCTGACAAAAGAAAGCAGGGCTCTTTAAAATCGTCGCTCTCTGAGATAAGAGGGTAGCAGTTTTGATTTGAAAGCTAGAGGTTATCTCTGCCTCGTTTATTTTCTGGTTTCATGTCGTTTGGAAGTTAAAAATTTTCGAATTTCCTTTTGTGTGTTGGTGTGTGTCGTGGAGGATTTTATGCCCTCCTTTCTCAGTTGAATTCCCATCAGTAGGCCCAAGTGGAGTTTACAGTCTTGGGGTAAGGTATACTTAGTGAAAAATTGAAGAGCAGATTCCCCAGCCTCCTGCTGAGATGAGTGCAATTGCTTGTCAGTGCGAGGGTTAACCACGAAGATGGTGGTAAGGAAGTGGAAGGAGGTCTAAAGGAATGTATAGCACTTCTTGTCCCTGGATGATTTCTTTGGTGTGGAGGCTAATAGCCGGTTTCATCGAAGTCTCCTGTTTCAGCCCATTTTTGGCTGTCTCTGGGCGTAATTATACCACAAGGATTTACTGCCTGGCAGGGAACCTATATAGTAGGAAAGTAGCGGTGTGGGGGTAGGGAGGGAAGAGGACGTGTGACTAATTGGTCGCTGCTTTCCACCACCTATCTAGATACCGTCTCTCCGGAGTCTGATTTTTCTTTTGTGACTGGTTGGTAAGAGAGCTGACTCCCAAGTTATGCAGGGAGTGAGTGTTTTGCACCAGTGCACTTAATCTGCTGGGCGATTATGCTCTGAAACTCTGACTCATTCATTGTTTCTCTTCTGAGCCTCAGCTGAGGGTTGTGCAAACCTCCACAGGAGCCGAGAAACTGATTTACATGACTTTTGGACGCTGTGGAATCAAAGCCCTTGTCCTTAGCCTCGGTCCGGTGGAATGGTCGTGGATAGTGCAGCCATTTGCTTGCCAGAGTCAGGGAGATTGCCAGCCTGAGAGCAGCCCAGAATCACCAACCTTTGAGGTTTCCCTCGGCAACCACTGATTATTTAGATTGTCTGAGACCTGGGACTCTGGTGACCTTAAGCCTGATTTGCCCTAAAGGAATATTGGTAGAAGTTCTCCCCGGTGGAGGAACAAACAGCTCAGGTTACCCGGGTTTCCTTGTTGGTGGGGGTGACTGTCTCGCCCTGTTGCACAGCCCTGGTGAGCCTTTTATCTGTGAACCAGTGCCCCTGCTGAAGGCTAGAACTGCTTGTTTTGGAAAAGCATATGCAGGCAAAAGGCCGTAGGCACAGCTCCTTGCAGCTCATTGGCTGCTCTGTTACTACCCGGAAAAGGAGGAGGGGTGGAGCTACCAAACAGCTGATGGGAGTGTGTGACAAGAGTGTGTTTACATACAAAAGAGGTGGGGGCTGGGGAGGCCTTGTGAGCTGCTCACAAGACCAAGTGTATTTTCGAGCAGGAAAAAACCCTGTACTCTTATTAAGATTCAAGAAAATTAAACTAGAAAACGGGATCTTATCATAATGGGTACTTGGCTCACCCTGCTGTTGCTGTAATATCTGGAAATTACAGAATACTGAGTTTTCAGAGACTGTCTTTTCCAGAAGGATTTTGGTAACAAGACAGGTTATGATGTTTTAAATAAAGGTGTGGTGGAAATGGACCTCCAAAGCTGAAAGCCTGGTGGGTTTGCAGCCCTGAGAGATTATCCAGAAATTTTCTGTAGTAAGTTTGAACCCTTAAATATTTGTGCCCCCTATTTGTGTCAGGCACTGTGTGTCTGTGGAGAAATAGTGAAAAGATGAGTGGTGGACATAGTGTTTATGGGATTAGTTATTGTTCCGTTAAGCCGGGAAGGACAGCATGTCAGATCAGCATTGTGTGTTAGCATCTTGCTTTTTAGAATATTTTGTATTTTCAAAATTAATTTTTTTCCTTCCTTTTTTTTTTTCTTTTTTTCTTTTTCTTTTTTTTTTGCCAGGCATGGTGGTGTCTCACACCTTTAATTCCAATGATTGGGAGGCAAAGGCAGGTGGGTGTCTTTGAGGTCAAGGATAGTTAGGCCTTCATAAAGACTTTGTCTCAAATAACCAAACCTGGTTTCTTTTTTATAAAATTGAAAAGTATTTCTCATATATCTCAATGCCTTTTTTTAAAAAGTAGGCATTAGAACAAAAGCAAGCATGAAATCTGAAGGCATTTATCATTGACTTTAACTTTGATGTTTTGCTGTTAATCAGCAGTTATTCTATCCCCAAGTTAGGCATTGTTACTGTTTAATTTGTGTTCAAAGTATGGACAATCTTTTAACTAGCCCCAGTGTCCATTGGCAGCCCGTGGTTGACCTCTTTTTCCTGTGGCCTCTCAGTGAGTTGGTAAGATGAAAGTTAGAACAGTTTCATAGTCTTAAAGCTCAAAGTTAAAGATTTGGCAATTCCCAGATTTTTGAATTTGTCTTCCTTGTGTAGATTTTGGTGGCAAATAGATCATTATAATAACACTTTGATAAAGCAGAAATTTGTATGATTTTTGCAGTGAAGGTGTAGTGGAACAGGCCTAAAAGGTGGTTGTTTTTTGTTTTTTTCGCTAGCTTTGGAGCCTATTCTGGAACTTGCTCTGCAGACCAGGCTAGCCTCGAACTGAGTGCTGGGATTAAAGGCATGTGCCACCACTGTCGGGCAAAGTTCAACTTTTAGAAGGGAAAAATCTTGTGTAGGTGTGATCTGTAAGAGACCTTTCTCTGTGCAAACATTAAGACGACCTAGGTTTGTTGGTTGGGGTAGTGCAACTACCCAGTACCTTGTATGGTGTTTATACATACATGCAGTTGGTATCCTGTTCTGTGTTCACAGATT